TATCTTCTTAATCTTTTTTTTGCTAGACAATATATTCTTAATCTTATTTGTATTAAAAATTTTCAATTCTATTTATTCTTTTTTATAAATTAAATCCACTAAAATCTTCAGTCCTCTTTATTCTCCTATAATCAAATTGAAAATTTATGTTCTTTCACACGGGTATAAAATCTAATTAAAAGTATTTATAATATTGACAAGATTAAGGAAAATCAAGTGAAAACTTTTACCTCATTTTTCAATTTTTAAAATCAAACTCATTAAAATTCTCCCTCTTCTCCCTTCATATTCAATTTTTATTAAGTAAAAATTATTTTTTAATTTTAAAAAATAATACTATTTAAAAAAAATTATAGTGATAATTTTTTTTAAAAAATATAATAGTGTCTAGAAGGTATAAAAATAAATAATTTCTATTCATCATGAAGTGCACGGGATGGCTTTAGTGATTGTAAGATAAAAATAGACAACAGGTTATTTTATTTTAAAATTTTTTATTTTAGCCATTCACAAATATAGACAGCATTTTATATTACTATATAAACTGTTATGCCTATGAAAATTCACAAATATTTTAGAATTTTTTTCTTTCATATTGTATAAACAACTTGTCTTATGTTAAAATTTAATATCAGGTGCATATTAAGAATATAAATAACAATTTATTTTATACCCACATAAATTTTTTAGAATATATTAATATAACCTATTAAAAAAAAAGTAATTTCTTGTTCTATTCACATACAAATTATTTCAAGATGTGTAATCATCACATAAATTAAAATGTAAATAACTTTTGTTTTGTTTTGAATTTATTACCTTATGCACATAAAACCACTAGTTTTATTTGAATATTTTTTATTCTAGTGTTATTAAAAATATAAATAATATCTTATTTCATTTAAAAATATTTCACCCCGCACAAATTAAAATCAAAATAATAACTTTTTCAATTTAATAATTTTTTACCCATACATATTAAAAATTTGTTATTTTTTAACAATTAAAAATATGAACAGGAAATTATTTCATTACATACTTTAATACCTTGTATAAATTAAAAATATAAACAATAAATTATTTTACTTGAAATTTTTTATTAGGTATAAATTAAATTTCATACATAAAAAATTTTCTTTAGGTTGAACACATACCTTTGCTTATAATTATACGTAATTAAAATCCAAAAAAAAAATTTGTATAGCTTAAGTTCCAACTTAAGATTTTTTGTAAATTAAAATCCCAACTTCTCCCTACTAGATATAATTTTTTTAAAAAATTAAAAAATGGAAAAAATTGTTTAAATGGTACTGGAGGGGGTTGGTTTCTCTCCATTTCCCACTTTCTCCACTTCCATCTCAACCATAGATTTTTTTTTGAATGGTTGAGATTTAATATTTTATAAAATTAATTTTTTTTATTTTTAATTATAATCTTACGTCTTGAAGTGTAGTTTAGATAAAATAATTTTTATCTTAAATTTATTTATTTATTTTTCATCTAGTGGACATTGTTTAACTTGAAAGGAAATGTACAAACAAAAAAATGATTAACGACACAATGTTCATAAATATACAACACAATGTCCATCAATCCTCAACATAGTGAACATATATAAACCAATGTTTATACAATATAAAATTCATAATGAATAATATACTTTCATTGAAACAACATAGTTTAAGTTAATATCCACTGAATATGTTATATATTTATGAATATTATGTTAAAAATTTGTAGATATCATGTTGTATATATATGAACAAGAACAATCTATGAAGATGAGGGTAAATGAATCTTTTTTTTTTCATAATAAAATTGTCAATAGTGGCCAATTTTCCGTTGTTTCTTAGTTTCGATCCAATTAAGTCTGATGTATTGTTTCAAAACCATGACATGTGATTTATTTCGAGAGGTTACGAATAATATAAATAGCATGAATGATTGATTTCTCAAACTATGTGCAACGCAAAAAATGATGGAGGATTCCCACGAAATAGCTGTAGGGTAATCACCTTTATTGAAAGAAAAATTAATTGTGTTATTTACGAATTGAATTGCAAGAGACAATAAAGTTTTGTCTCCCAAATTCACCTTAATTATTAATTTGGTTCTTCAAATTTTGCCCTTATCAATTACTCTTTTTGGTCCAAAATATAAATATAAATAGTTTTTGAAAAAAGATTTGCAAATTAATAAAGTCTCCATTGTCATAAAAATATACTCCCTCCGTTTTTTAATGTAAGAGAAACTAGCATATTTTTCATTATTTTTATTTATAAGCAAAGCTATAAATTTCAAGAAGCATTTATTACATTTTTTTCTTAATTGTCCCTCATATATTCATTGATTATTTTTCCTGTATAAATTTGTTTCATTAATTGAAGTGATAATTTAGTTCAATTTCTTTAATTTCATACATACTCCAATTTTTTAAATTTGTTACACTGCGTTTGGAGTAATTATTATACTTAATTAATTTTTTAAATTATGTAAATTAGCTATTTTTTATATTTGAAAACAGAGGGAGTATATTGTTTTTTCCTTTTATTCATAATCCCATTTACCAATACATTATACAGTGAGTAAGAGATACATTTACATATATATTTAGGTTAATAAATACAAAGGATAAAATAAGAAAAAAAAATTTACATATACTATATTTCTTATATTTTAAATTAAGATTAGTTGAAGTGAAATGCTTATATTTTGGATCAAAAGGAACAAGTCCTTAAGGTTTCATAATTATATATAATTAGTTTTTATAATTTGAAGGAAATGAATGATAAATTACAACAAGTAGTGGAATAAATTATGCTTGTGAGCAAAGGTGAATGATTCTTCAATATTTTTGTTGAAGATATGTAATCCTAGACACGTGGTGTGATTGTGTACAATTATACAAATTTAGAGAAAATTACTCTAAGGTATCACTGAAAACAATTAATTACTCCTAAATTCATTAATTGTATTATCATTCCCTTAAATTCAGTTATTAATAGACCCGAGAGTAATTAATTGTATAGAGTGGGATTTGTATGTAATTCACTCTAAAATTTAAGGCACTTAATTCATAAACATTGAACTTCAAAAATGAAATTAATATTTGAGCTAAATTTAAGGGATTAACAATTTCAATAACAAACATGAAAACACTGAATATATATATCCAGCACTGCAGTCATCTTCATATTTTTAGTTAAAAGTTATTTTCATGCCTTTATGGTGAACACGTAATGAAATTAGTTAGGGTATTTCAAATATAAAATTACACGTGAATTATAAAAATTCCCCATATGTTTGTTTCTAGACCATCAGTCCCAGGATTTAATCCATAATAATAATAATAATAATAATAATAATAATAATAATAATAATAATAATAAAACGCGCAAACATAATTTAGTTAGTGGCTTCCAATAAGAAGAAATCACGTCATGAGCATTCAAATTTTGACTCAACCATTTTGGTCGAATCCTACCAAATAATTCACGTTCCAGATATGATGAATTAAAACGATGACGTCGGACCACATTTCTTAATGTTACCGGAAAAATAGCTGGCAAAGAAATCTATTTAACCAAACTAAAATTGACCAAGAGATGCACTTGTCGTTTAAACCGTATTTTGGAGGTTTGAATTTTATGGAGAACTTTCTAGGTAAATTATTTGGTCCTTACTATAAGGATCATGGAAGGTTATACTTTACCCTCCATTCAATATAATTTTAAATTTACAACCCTTTCAATTTTCTCTTCATTCAAAAAATAATATTAAAAAAATATCATTAATAAAATTTTATTTTTATTAAATTATTTTATATTTAAAACAATAAAATGTCATTAATGTTGTCTTATAATTTGAAATAAATGGAGTAATTTAGTCGGGAGAGATTTGTTTATTGCTCTTAGTATCTCCCGGATGATATTCTCTGTTATTAACAAAGTTTACTCCTTAATCTTTATACTTGCCAAAAGATTAATTTGTTTACGCACATTTTAATTTTCTCAATTTCATAGCAGCGCGTGTGCGTGTGCGTGCGTGTGTGTGAGTAAATTATCAGTGGCAAAGGATGTAAATTAAAGTGAAGTGAAGACGGCCCCACCAGATGGTTCGCTGCCAATGAGACCTTCGACAGGATTTCTCCGCGCCGCGTCAAGGGTTGTGATCTGTGACTGTGATCCCAATCCTCGTCCATGTAATAAATATGCGATTCATGCACAAGGTCAAGCCAGAAATGCTTATCAAATGTTGTATTTATTATGCAATCATTACCTTGGGTTTCTGTAATCTTGACATTGGATGGGCTCTCTCCCTCATTCTTTACTTATTTTGTTTTTAAAAATAATAAAATTTATAGTCCTTTAACCATGCACAATCCATCTTTATGGTGTTAATTCTCCTTCAAACCACAAAAATTAATTATGTATGATTATGAAATTTTAGGAACTTGTAATAAAGATTAAACTTCAATGATCAAATCAATAATTAAAATAAATTAGGAAGACCAAAGGTTTTATTATTTCCTTTTATCTTATTTTAAACATGAATTTTTTTTAAGTTAAAAAATCCTACCTGCAGCTGACAAATAATAATAATAATAATAATAATAATAATAATAATACAAGAGATTGGTCAGAATGTTACAATATGGGATTTAGAAACAAAGATAAATTCTGGATATTGGATAAATTAGGTAAATTGTTCAATTATGTCTAAAAAAATGTATTACTTTCTTTCTAATTTCTTCTTGTCCAAACCTTCAGTTATAATAATGAAAGTTGATAGAGATGAGAAATTAAAATGCAAAATATTTGACAAACTTGGTTTAAAGTCTTTATGGAGTGCTATAAATAATAGAATGGTTCAACAAAAAAAAAAATTATTTCATTCCATTAATTTCGCACAATACATTCTAGACCCACTATATAAGCGTTGCTTTTTGATCACACAATGTATAGAATACAATCTCTAATGCTCACTGTGAGCGAGCTGCATCATTACGTTGGCTATTTACATGTTTAAATTAAAGGGGACGTTTCAAAATAAATAATATATCTCATCTTATGCCCAAACATTCACATATGAAGACTGAATAGATAACGATTATCCGATTGAGTATTTGTTAAAGACAAAGCAGTAGCTGCAATATGTTTTGAACTCAATCCTGCTATTTGAATCTGATCTGTATGAGATCCATGGTCGATGTATCTGTCTGGTAGTGTCATGGCTCGCCACTACACCAATTCAACAAATTTCTCAATTATTGTCCAGGCTAGCACACCATTAAATGATAATGTGAAAACAGATAAGAAAATATAACTTTTTAGTCCCTAGACATTGAAACTAAACAACTCAATCCACATAAGTAATTAATTCAAAAACTACAATGTCTGAGTTGTACTAAGTTGAAATTCAAGAAGTAAAAGTTATATTATCTTAATACAGAAAGAAGAAAATATTTGATTTATGGGGTTACCTTGAGATTTCCATCAAGCAGTCCATTCAAGCCTAGGAACTGACAAGCATGAGAGCCAAACCCTCCAATGGATCCTTCTTCAACAGTGATGAGAACCTCATGCTCTCTAGCTAGCTGCTTCATCAATTCTCCATCCACAGGCTTACAAAACCTGGCATCAACCACGGTGGTTGAGATGCCTTGATCTTCAAGAAGCTTTGCTGCTTCCACACAGCTCTGAACAATTGTTCCATATCCCACAAGTGCCACTCTACTTCCCTCCTTCAATACCCTTCCCTTTCCAACCTGCATTCATTTGAAGTGACAATCATTTCAAGTACTGACAATCATTTAAAGTCTCTCCGTAACTAGTTTAGATGAATTAGGTACCTCTAGTGGGTTGCCCTTGTTGTTTGATGGAAGAAGGGTCCCTCTGCCATTTCCTCTTGGATACCTGAAACAGCTAGGGCGGTCATCTATGGCAGCAGCAGTGGCCACCATGTGCATGAGCTCGGTTTCATCGGAAGGCGCCATAACCACCATGTTTGGCAGACAAGCCATGAATGTTGTGTCAAAGGCTCCACAATGAGTTGGACCATCAGCACCGACCAGCCCAGCTCTGTCCACTGCAAATCTCACTGGAAGCCTTTGAAGGTCCACATCATGTGCTACCTGCAAAAGTCAGCATCACAAAGCCTAAGTTAACATAGAGATGAATAAGAATTTGCAGGAGTTAATAATTCCAAGAGTTTCACAAAATTGTATTACCTGATCGAAACCTCTTTGCAGAAAAGTAGAGTAAATTGCACAAAAAGGCTTGAGGCCTTCAGCTGCAAGTCCGGCAGCAAAGGTAACTGCATGTTGCTCGGCTATCCCAACATCAAAACATCTTTCAGGGAATCTCTGTTGGAATAAGTTAAGTCCCGTGCCTCCTCCCATTGCAGCATGGATAGCAACAATTTTATCATCAGCCTCAGCTTCTGCTATTAGAGACTCTGCAAAGTATTGAGTGTAAGAGCGAGTGCTTGTTTTGGACTTCGTTTGCTTCCCTGACTTGGGATCAAACTTCACAACACCTGCATGAACAGAACAGTACCATTAATTAAGCTTATTGTTTGAATTATGATCATAATATGCAGAACTCTTAGAGGATAGGAAGAGCGCAATACCGTGCATCTTGTCTGCTGCTGCTTCAGCAGGTGCATACCCTTTGCCTTTCTCAGTGATGACATGAATCAGAACTGGTCCCATGTTTGGCATGTCCTTGACTTTCTTCAGAACATGGACAAGGTCTTCCACATTATGGCCATCCACAGGACCAATATAATAAAGCCCAAGCTCTTCAAACAAACAAGCACCTGAACCACCCACTATTCCTCTCATATAGGTATCCAATTTTGCAGCAATATCATGTGCTTGGCCGCCAATTTGCTTGGTGATGCCCTGTTGTTTTTGCCGCCAAATATTAGCCTCAGAACTTATAGAAAGACACGTGAGATAAAGATAAAAGGCCAGTCACATGGGTGGAGCCATCATGTTTCACATACTATGATACTACTGTTGACTAGCGTAAATTAAATTTCTCTCAATCATATAATGATTGTGGGGATATATACCTTTGCAGCCTCACGTAGTTGATGGAACTTTCTGCTGGTTTGTAGTCTTGTGAGGGCTTTGCTTAGTGCGCCGACCGGAGGAGCAGGACCGTCGACGGTGGCGGTAGGAAGGGAAACTTGTTCGTTGTCGTTTAAGATTATGATAAGATTGGTGTCGAGGAAACCAGCGTTGTTCATCGCCTCATATGCTTGTCCCGCCGTCATGGCTCCATCACCTATCACTGCAACCACTTGGTTCTCCTTGCTCATCAAGTCCCTTGCAACCGCCATCCCTGAATTACCCACAGAATATAAATTTTAACATAGAACATCAATCAACATATGCGCGCGCGCGCACAAAATGTGCCGGAATGAGGAGCTATGTTCTGGAAACGGCGGAGAGTACAAATGGGCGAAGAGCTGTGGATATGTACCTAAGGCGGCTGAAATGCTAGTGGAACTGTGACCAACTCCGAAGGCATCGTGAACACTCTCGTCTCTCTTGGGGAATCCTGCGAGTCCACTGGTTTGCCGAATGGTATGCATTCTGGATCTTCTTCCTGTCAAAATCTTATGAGCGTACGCCTGATGACCGACGTCCCAGATGATCTTGTCTTGAGGAGAGTTGAAAACATGGTGGAGTGCAACGGTCAGCTCCGCCACGCCGAGGCTGGAGCTCAGATGGCCTCCTGTCTTTGAGACACTGTGAACAATCTCTTCTCTCAGTTCATCGGCAAGCGACCCAAGCTCCTGATTTCCCAGATCATGATCATGTTCAATTTACAGTTCACGTTGCAGAGAAATAAGAGAGGACGATTAGTTAATTTCTTTACCTGAAGGGATAGATTCTTCATGTGAATGGGGTAATTGACAGTGTCCAACATCGGAGTAGAAGGCTTCTCTCCTGAGAAATTCAGAGTCTTATTCGTCAACTTTCTTGTTTCCAAGGGTTTCTTCCCCACTGGGCTCTCTTGATCCTCACCGACGACACTGCCTCCTCCTGCTGCAGCCACGGTCACTGATCTGTTCATCTGAAAATCAACCAGAGAACAAAAATGTCATCATCTCAGACTCCATTAATAACAACGACGAAAAATTTGCTTGGGATGATTGATCTGGTCTTAATCATACCCTTTGAGGGTTAGTTGCGGAAATTCTGGTGGTTCGGCGTGAAAGAGTAGTGGAGGAGCTGGAGGAGTTATCCTGAGAATGTAGCAAGGGAAGGAAACTAGTGCCAAGAACGGAGGAAGCCATTGTTGAGAGGTTGAGAGGAAGAGATTAAGAGGACAGCTTGTGCTATATTATGTGTTGAGGAAGAAGAAGAGTAAGTCAGTGCTTGAGAATATGAATGAAGGTGATGGGCAGAAGGCAGGTTTCTGGGGAATTTATAGAACTGAATTTTTGCATTGTTTACAACCGTTTGACGTCACTTGTATTATATGTACGACTAAATTTTCAATGATAATTGAATGGAATGGAAGAATGATAGTTGGGTAACCTTAAATTAATAGCATTTTGGTCTTTAATGGTTTTTAAAACAAAATAAATTGAAAATATATATCAATTTAAATTACAAATTCAAAAGTTTTAATTGTAAATAAATATTTAAGTATTAAATTTAAATGAAAATCTTAGATTATAATAAGAATTTTTATTTATGACTATTTAAATTAATATTTATAATTTATTTTTTTAAAATTTTGTCAGGATTTAACTATTAATAATTCATCTTTTCGGAACTTAATTGCAATTTTTCTTAATTGAAAGCTAAATATTTACTTCCTCCAAACCATAATATATCAGAAGCCATGCTAATATATCAAACATAGATCATTGGATAAGTTTTATATACATTTATTAAATTTTCAATTAAATCTTAAATTTTTTATTGCAAAATATATTTACTTTATTATTTCACTCAAGTAATTAATTGAACAGATCATAAATGACGTAGTGCACTCGATCTTTTTAAGTATTTCTCATCAATGATAATGTTCTAAATAAATCAAGTGTTATACTTATTCAATTCAAGAGTATGATAAAAAAAATGTGAAATATTTTATAAGATGAAGGTTTTAACCCATTTTTTAGGAACATAAATTAATTAATAATGACTAACATCATAATCTAGAAAGATAAACAATTAATGTTAAATCTCACATTTTTGTTCATTCTTTAATTGATTTTTCATTAGTTGCCGAGAAATCGATCAAATCGTTATCAACTCAGACAATAATACTAATATTGTAATTTGTTATAGCTCCAGGCGTCCACCCCTTTTCTCATTTACTTGAACATGATTAAAACATGTTAGGTAAGGATTATTACTAACAATCTACAATTATACAACACTACTAATAGTCTAATACTAATGTTGTAGGCCATACGCTAAAGTGACAGCTTTTTTTTTTTTTTTAAACACCAGCATAAAGTGAAAGCTTGTTCAATTCATTCATTTTTATTACAAACAATCATGTTTGAGACATGATTTTTCTTTTTCAGTTTATGTATTTATAGTATATAGGACATATATAGGTGGAGGATAAAAATCAACTCTCAAGCAGGGATCTCATTTGGTAGAGATTGTGGTAAGTTAATTAATAGCCTAGAGTTAAGATTTTAGATATACAATTATGTTAAATATTTACTCAAAAATTCTATTGCTCCAAAACTGATTGACCAACTTATACAAGAAGTTGAGATCAAATTGAACTGAAATACTTGATCAAATCAAATTATAATAGTTGGATTTGGTCATTCTATTTGATTAATGGACGCTAATTTTATGAAAACTGAAAATAGAAAAGAAAACATGAAGAAAATGGAAAGATTGTTCTTACTCACCCAAACAAAAGCTCATTCACTTTCTCAAAAATATAAAAAAATTATAATATATACTTCCTCTGTCCCTATATATAAGATATTTTTAACCGAATTATATAAACCAATAAAAATTTGCTATCTAATTAAAAGCACAACAATATTTTAATTTTGCCTTCAATTATTGAAAATAAAAAATAAATCTCTTTTTTTAAAGTAAATTAATGAAAGTACTTATCTTTTTTTATTTTTAATTTAATAAAGGTATAACGGTTCATTCATTAAAAAATATGTTAACAATCTCTTATATTAAGGGACAAAAAAGGTTCTAGAAGACTTTTTATATATAGATACAGAGGGAGTATATATAAGTTATTTATAATTTAGTTAATTCAGTCTATTTGATTCAATAATTTCCATATCAAACCTGACCATTAATCAAAATTTTTATTTAAAAAAAACTGTACTGAATCTATAATTAAAGAACCAAACCAAATAGACTGAATTTAAGTTGATTTTATTCTATCTTTAGTTTTGGTTTGGTTTCGCTCATCCTTAGCTGAACGGCAATTAGTTGGATTAACCATCTCAAAGACACCAAAACAATAAGCCTTGTTAGGAGTTTTCCTTTTCATCATCTACCTCTGTTTTGTCTGTAGTGGAGGCATATTTGTTGGTAATTAATAATAGTGAAAGTTGTGCTTGTAAAACATTGAACCTACGATACCTACGATCCTTTTCACTAGTTTCCAAATTTCCTCCAAAGCGAAATTAATGATTGAGAGCAGTGATTAAAAAAATCAGGTCGAATCGTATTCAACTCCAGATTTCAGCTTGATCAGCATATTTAAGGGTGGAGCTGAGTTGGACTGCTTTAGATAGGTGATCGGATTGTAACTGAAATTAAGTTAAAAATTGAATCCAATTCTTAAAAATTAGAGTGTTTAAATTTTTTTTATTTTTTATCAAATTGTTTTAGAAAATGATTAATTTTTTTTAATCATTTAATGTTATGTTATATCATGTGGCTTTTTAAGTTATAGTAAATTTAAAATATTTGGTTTTATTTTTAAATTAAGTGACAATTTCATATTTATTTCTTATATTTAGATTATTATATACATATATAATTTTTTTAATTTAATTATTACATTACCGATTTCATCATTAGTCCAACTCGATTAAACTATACGATCACTAATCTTCCCAATTCAACATCCGATCCAATTTTAAAAACATTACTTGAGAGTGACAAATGCAAAGGCACATCACTATCAACTTTCAAAATATTATAAATACAAATTTGATATGATAATATAAAGGGAGAACTTAAGCTAAAGACTATTGTGTAGAATTAATTTTAGATGGATTTAAAAAAATTAAAATTTTACTTCAAACTAAAAAAAAAAAGTCAAAAGAATTTCAACGGTGAAAAAATTAAAATACCCTTCACTTGTTATACAAAATTAATAATTATTAATTTTCTTACTCTACTTGTTAATTTATGAATATGAGCTATAAATTACATAAGTTAATATATCAATAATTATATAAGACTTAATATTAGTTTTTCAATAATAAGCAGTAGCATCAATTGTTAAATTACTAATTTTACTTGTTAATTTACAAACATTAGTTATAAATTACTAATAGGTCTTATAATTTATTAACATTAATTATAAATTATTGATAGATCTTGTAATTTGTAACTAATGTTAGCAAATTAACATGTAAAGTTAACAAATTTACGATTAATGTTATTAATTGTTTGACAAATAGATATAATTTACAAGTGATATCAGTAAATTAACAAGTGCATTAAGAAAATTAACAATTTGTGATTCCTCATAACATATAAAAGGTATTTTGTCTTTTTAATGTTAAAATTTCTTTAACTTTTTCCTCTTGACTGAACTAAAATTTTATAATTTTTTTGAATCCACTTAAAATTAATTCTCTACAGTGATCCTTAACTAAAATTTTTCCTAATATAAAAATATGTGAGACAAAGGAGAGACAAGGTAAGAGAAGTAATGTGAAGAGAATAGGATTGATTATTGAATCAATCAATAATTTAATTTCCAATTCAATGATCAGACTATCCAAATAGTGATCCAACCCATCATCAATAAATTAATATATTTCAAATAATAGATTATTAAAATAAAATTAAATAATTATGTACAATCATAAAAATGAATTTTTAAATTTCAATAAAAGTAATATACAGTAAAAAAAGATAATAGTTATCAATATTCTATTTTTTCATGTAAAATGTATATAAAAAGATAATATTCATAAATATTCATCATTTTCATCTAAAATATATATACTTTTATAATTTATAACTTATAATTTTAAAATTGATACTCCCTATATTTCAAATTATAAAACAATTTGGACAAAATTAAAGTACTAATAAACTTTATTAAATACACTTAACAAATTTTTTTAATACAAAAATATAAATTTTTAAAAATACTCTTCATGTAATATATTAAAAAGAGGGGAATGAAAATTAAATAAAGATAGAAAAAGTAATATTGGAATGAGCTTATTTAATGAAATCTTAATTTTTACAAAATGTTTTTAAATCTTTCTTAAAAGTATTTTATAATTTAAAATGGAGGGAGTAATTCTAAAATATAAGCATTTTCTTCTCATGTCTATAAATTAATAATTTTTTTACTCATCATAAATTAAAATTAAGGGTAAAAGAAAAAAATAATATATATTTTCTTTGTAATAAGAATTTTATTAGCAAGTGTGATGGTTATGTACGTGGAAGTTGGGAACTAAAAGCAATGGTGGACGCAGGACCCCATGCCAACGGGGGCATATTTTTTGTATAAAAATAATAAATATTTTTATTTAATTTATCTAAATTTATTATTTTTAAAAATTTTATTTGTCAAGTAAAGATTTGTTACTTCCCTTATTGATAAATTTCCCTAAAAATAATTTCATTATCCTATTTGAAATTCATAAAAATTTCAATATACTAATTCAAAATCATGTTTTAACTTGGAAAAAATAATTTGAATGAATAAAAATGATTTAGAGGATCATAAATTTAAAAATATATTTTAGACAAAGGTACATAAAAATAAATGATTTTATGGAATAAAA